AGTTGTAGTATCTACGGCACCAAAATTTTGATTTCCTTGAAAATGAATATTCTCTTGTTGATGAGCTTCACAAAAATGGCACCATACTCTATATAGACTTCCAGTTCCTGCTTTCTTTAAAAAAAAAAAAAAGATATCAACATCACTCTAAGATTCACTCGTGGTGTTCTGTGGATCTCAAACTCTTTCATTTCATTGATGTGTGATGTAACTATACAATTACCACTATTCATTCATTTTCACACTGATGATATTTGAAGCTTTTTTGGGTTAGGTGAGATAATGGGTTCATGGTGTTTATTGATATTATCTTACTTTGTAATATAACTTTTGTAAATACCAAATATGATATTTATTATTTTTTCCATTTTATTTTACTTAATTTCTTTTCAGTGTTCCAGCATTCATTGTTTATGCACCACACCCAGTGCTCCATGGGGCACCTGGGTGGCTCAGTGGGTTAAAGCCTCTGCCTTCGGTTCAGATCATGATCCCAGGGTCCTGGGATCGAGCCCCTCATCGGGCTCTCTGCTTAGCGGGGAGCGTGCTTCCTCCTCTTTCTCTGTCTGCCTCTCTGAATACTTGTGATCTCTGTCTGTCAAATAAATAAATAAAATCTTTAATAAAAAAAATACATGCCCTCCATAATAGCCACCACCAGGCTCACCCAACCCCTCGCCCCCCTTCCCTCCCAAACCCTCAGTTTGTTTCTCAGGGTCCACAGTCTCTCATGGTTTGTTTCCCCCTCCAATTTCCCCCAACTTCCCCCAATTCACCCAAATATGACATTTATTTATTTATTTGTTTGTTTGTTTGTTTTTAAAGATTTTATTTATTTATTTGACAGAGATCACAAGTAGGCAGAGAGGCAGGCAGAGAGAGAGAAGGGGAAGCAGGCTCCCTGCCGAGCAGAGAGCCTGATGACTCTGGGACCACCACCGGAGCCGAATGATAATATGATATTTAAATATCAAAAATGATAATATGATATTTAAAAGGCAACATTCTCTGAGGAAGGAAGGCATTTAAAAAACCGTATTGGGGAAAACAGAATTAGACCCTACTAAACCTAGCTCTTATCACAGATCCGGGATTAGTGTAGGTCAAGTTGTGTCTCTGACTTAACTACACATTTTTTTTTTAAGATTTTATTTTGGGGTCTCCTGGGTGGCTCAGTCAGAAGCTCTAGCGACTCTTGACCATGGGGTTGTGGGTTCAAGGCCCACGTTGAGTGTAGAGATTACATAAAAACTAAATCTTAATTTTTAAAATTTCTTTTAAGTTTTATTTATTTAAGTAATCTGACTAAGCCATTCCGGCGCCCCAAACCACACATTGTTACCACGTGGAAAAACACAACTTACAACTTACACACTGATTTTAGAGATGTGTTCTTGCTACTGCGTGCAGTCCCTTCCGTATGACCAGTAGGTGGCGCCCTAGGACTACTGTGTTTTTAATTAACCCCAAACAGGGGGCTGGACTTCATTCCTACACCCTGCCTCTGGAAAGGCAAATTTTAACAAGCAGAATAAAGAAAAGGCCAGTCTGTTAATTAGAAGGAAGAACAATCCTCTACACAGATCACTTAAATTCATTTATTCAGTACCTGGTTATTTCTTGACTATGATAACGATTGCGCATTTTACGCACATTATTTTCACATTCTCCACATTAACAGAGCAGTCTGTCAGTTTCTTTATGGAACTCAGTTTTTACCATTCGATTCTGCACAGCACGTTTACCAGCACAGGGGACTGACTTTGGAGCTTATTCTTTTTGGAACACGTTCTATGCATAGTGTTGCCTGAGCCTGGACTGGCTTCCTGTTGAAAACAGAGTCTTTTTCTCAAAGATCTTTTGGAGTAAGGAAAACAGCCAGGGGTGTTTGGCCTGCAGCAGGAAGATGTCCTGGGTGACCTCTTATCAAAGTTCCAGCCCTTCGATTATCCACCTTCTGTCCCTCCTTCACCCACCTCTGCCACTTGTGTTACTTCCTGATCTTCCTCTTCAGGAAGGGACTTTCCCAGTGACATGATTATCCGAACACCTTTGCCACTCCCACTGTCATTTCTGTCAAAAATAAATTACCTATCAGCGTTCAAATTTGCTTCTGTCTATGCCACCATGACCCTAAGAAACAGAAAAAAGGGTGAGGGGGAATTATCACCTAAAAACGCCACACTGGGCCACCTGGGTGGCTCAGTCATTAAACATCTGCCTTCGGCTCAGGTCATGATTCCAGGATCCTGGAATCGAGCCCCGCAACGGGCTCCTTGCTCTGCAGGAGCAAGCTTGCTGCCTGCTTCCTCCTCTCTCTGCCTGCCTCTCTGCCTACTTGTAATCTCTGGCAAATAAATAAATAAAATCTTTTTTTAAAAAAAGATTTCATATATTTGACAGAGAGAGAGACACCAAGAGAGAACACAAGCAGGGGGAGTGGCAGAGGGAGAAGCAGGATCCCTGCTGAGCAGGGAGCCAGATGTGGGCACGATCCCAGGACCCTGGGATCATGACCTGAACCTAAGATAGATGCTTAACCACTGAGCCACCCAGATCCCCCTCATTGCACTTTTTTAAAAAGCTTTATTGATATATAATTTGTATACCACACAATCCCCCTCTATATGGTGTACTGTTCAATACATTGGCTTTTTGCTCAGCTGCAAATTGCCTTACCTTCTGACGACTTGCCATTTCTTCGATTGATTTGATCGGTGAGGGTCAACAGAGGTGAAGCCCAGAGTGCTGAGTTAAGCCCAGCGGCATGAGCTGCTGAGTTCCACATTAGTAATTTGTATTTTGTTGTTGTCCATATGTTTTTATGTCCGTGATTATTTAATTCCTTAACTTTTCTGTGTCTCGAAGTTCGAATGTTAGTAGGTAATTTGGAGTTTCATTATTATACAATAGATAGAGCAAAATAGAAGTTTCAGTGTCTAGTCTGTGCCAGAAAGGTAGCAATATCAGCAGGGAGGTCCTTCCCATCCTTGTGTATCAGCATTGCCATGAGAGGATGGAGTTTCTACTTGAAAATTCAGATGTCTATCTCCTGCTATTCTCAGAGGAACTGAGAACCCCCAGGCTCCACGCCCCAGGCAAGAGCTCCTTTGCAGGTAGGGAGACCCTCAGTGTGCAGAGATAAGAGCAGGAAATAGTAAGGGGTCAGGCCTGAGGGGTGGGGGACAAAGAGCCATGGACCCAGGATGGTCTTCTTTCTTGGCTTCTGGGCTACCTTCTTTTCCCAGATTCCAGGAATGAGGGTGGTAATAAGGCTGGAGAGCCTGGACAGACCAGTCGTGGGGATCCAGCCAGACTCCCCCTCAGTCTTATCTCCCCACAGTCTTATTTGGACATTGCAGATGCTGCACAGGTCATGCTAGAGTGAACCGAGGCTCAGGGCGGTGGTGTCCTCAAGAAGGGGGAGAAATGGATATTGAGCTATTAGCTGGGTCTGCAGCAAAGTCCGCATGCACAAGGAAAAAGCTCTAATGGCAGAAAGGATAAAGGAGAAAATTCTGTGGTTGGTCCAACGGAGAGATTGTATACAGAAAACGTTAGCCCATGTAGAGCTCTGTAAAGGAGCTGTTTTCTGTACTTCTGTATAGTCACTAATCTTTCCCCAAATCCCACAAGGTAAATACATCATTATCCCCATTTTACAAAGAAACTGAAGAACAGAAAGTTTGATCACTTGCCAAACGTCTGATCAGTGACAGAGGCAGGATCAGAACTCTCCTGGGTCTGTGCTCTCCACACTGAGTTCTACACCCAAAACCGTGTACACACTAGGGGATTCTATGTGTTTTCCCAAATACATGGTACATTATATATCCGTGTTAACTTCTATGAAGACAAGCCAGTAATGGCAGTCTTCAGTCACTGGATTTACTTCCTACAAACGCAAACCTTACCAGCTTCTTTTCAAGAGATGAATTCTTGGTCCCTCTGTCAGGTAGTCAGAGGGAACCTGGGCTGGACAATGTCTACAAACAGAAGGAGAACAAATTCCATGACTACTGAAAGATGGTCAAGGGCACTATTGTCACCCGGCTCTCATCAACCACAGTGGACAATGTAGTTGACTTATTAAAGCTAAGTTGGCCACTCTGCACTTGAGTTTTGACTCCGATGGAGGCAAACATGTAGCTACTATGACTTTCACAAATATGTTTGCATTTTTTTTTGTTCTAAAGGGAAACAGCAGCAATTTATTTTAAAATTTTGACCCCTCCCTTTTTTTTTTTTTTTTTTACTTTATCTTCCATGGTATCTTTTGTTTTGAGTACACATGAAAGCTATTAGAGTGAGAAATTAAATCTTTGTGGTCATTTGGTCAACTAAGTCACCCCATGTTCAGTGGGTACCTACCGTGGGCACGGTTCTAGGCACCCAGGACACAGAGGCAAACAAGACACACCGTCTCCAGGCTCATGGAATTAGTCGGGGCTGAGAGATGATATGCAAATAAGTAAATACATTAAGCAAGGTGATTTCAGATAGGTTTGTATATATATTCAGGAAGAAACTAACACGTAATGGTGTCTGAGAGACAACTGAAAAGGGGACACCATTATCTCTTAGATGCCACATCCTGTGTAATGAACATTTATGAAGTACCTGTCATGTTAAGCATCTGAGATACAGAGAAAAGATAAAACACACGATCTGACCTCTCTAGCAGCAACCGATGGGAAGTCACACATTAGGCAAGTGAACTTGTGACCTGTCTTTGAGTTATCAGACAAAACTTCCTGGGATACCCTTGACATTAAAATGTTAATGACACCAAAAGTGTCTCTGGCTTGAATGCCCACAGTGAAATAGGGTCCCTTCCAGCTTGGTGGGAACAATTTGGTGAGAAACGTTTCCCATATAGAGATCTCCACTCCCCGGATTAGAACCTTAGCCTCAGTTTGCTCATTACACAAGGATTGTGGATCTACTCCTGCCAGAGGCATTCAAAACATGCCAAGCTGGTGTTGCATAAAAAAAAAAAAAAAAAAAAAAAAAAAGCTTGCGCATTCAGCAAATATAAGCTGGCGAGCAGAGCCAGGGTCACCCGCTTTCGAGAGGGGAGCTGCCGTTCTGCGGCCTCGGGTTGAATGCAAGCAATGGACATTGAGAAGGTCAACTCCATGGACTTTGGGGAATTTGTGGATGTGTTTGGGAATGTCATTGAGAGGTGTCCTCTGATTGCCGCTGCTGTTTGGTCCCAGAGCCCGTTCTCCAACTTGGAAGATTTAGAGAAGCACTTCTTTGCCTTCATTGACGCCCTTCCGCAGTCAGGTAAAGCTTTGGCATTAGACGCTGAGAATCTCCACAAAGGGATTTCAAATATGCTTATCAAAATATTTTTATCTTTTTTAAAAGATTTTATTTATTTATTTGACAGAGAGAAAGATCACAAGTAGGCAGAGAGGCAGACAGAGAAAGAGGGGGAAGCAGGCTCCCTGCTAAGCAGAGAGCCCGATGCGGGGCTGATCTCAGGACCCCGAGATCATGACCTGAGCTGAAGGCAGAGGCTTAACCCACTGAGCCACCTAGGCGCCCCTCAAAATATTTTTATATGTTTCAGCCTAGTTGCTTATCGCTGATCATCACTTTTTATTGTAAGGTTTACTTTCCTCAGACTTAGTAAATGCGAGTCAGACACTTGCAAGGTGTTAGGCCAAAAATGGAATTAAAGACATATGTTGGTCTCAACTCAGGTCGTGACCTCAGGGTCATGAGTTCTAGCCCCTTGTTGGGCTCCACACTGGGCATGGAGTCTATTTTTTTAAAAATTGTATTAAATTTTTAGAAAAAGAGACATATGTTGGCTCAGGTAAAGGAGCTGTTAAATATTAAAGCTATGAGGTTAAGAGGGAAGAGGAACAGGCACTTGTTTCCTCAGGCCTCACAGTCGCTCAGAGGCCAAAGGTCAGGCAGAGGGCCCACCCTCTCTTAGCCAAGTGTGTTCACTTTGGGAATGTCCTGTATGCAGGAGAGGAGACAGTACAGTATCAGAATATCTCAGGAGCCCAGGGGAAAGAGCAGATGGCTGACATTTTTACCAGAAAGGGCCAGTTTGGACTGGACCACCAAGGAAAGTAAACTCATTCAGATCAGCAACTCCCTGAGGGAGTGAAGGGGAAAAGACAAAAATCTGAAGGAATTCCTCTGGAGAAAGGGAAAGAAATTGTTGATTTCCTCTGGGTAGAGAGAGAAAAGGAGACACTTCTGGGTGTGGGGTGAGGAGAGGCGGGGGGTGGAGGTTTATTCTAACCCCAAGTGACTCAGAATGACACATGGCCTCACAAAGATTCAGAGGCCCAGGATTAGAGCCCACTTACTGGGCTGTCCTGTATCTTCAGAAAAGCCCGAAGGGAGATGAGGGGCAAGGGCTGCCTTCACAGAGGGGCCTTCTACAGAAATCTGGTCTGTGTGTGGAGGGGTTGGGGGGAGAATGGCCGCTCTCTTCTCCACCATTACAAGGCCAAGAAACAGAACTCTTGCCTACCCATTCAGAGTTTGATATTCAGGATGGTTTCCAATTGTCAGATGAATGTCTCCCAAAGAAGGAACTCATTTTAATTTATTTTAGGCACATTTAGCAAGAGGGGAGGAAGGTGTTAGAAAATCAGACTGACAGAAATATCAGGACTATGTTGGCAGTCACCCAGTTCTCAGGGCCTTTCTCAGCTCCGCCACTGAGCTCAGACATTAATGAGGCTGATGGACACCAGAGCCTTGTGACTGATGACTCACAGGAATGTTCAGCCCTGGCTTGAGGAGGGAAGGGGTTCCCCTTGTCGGCCCATAGCCTGCAGAGTGAGCTGGAAAGAGCAAGAACCCATGTTCATGTTCACCGTGTTCACTAGAACCCGTGTTCAAAATGTCTGACAGGAAAATGTGGGTCAAATGAAAGCCTTCTAGGCCAGAGGGAAATAATTTTTAAAGGGTGTGAATGCCTTATGAATAGCATTTTTTTCTATCACGTTAAAAATAAAAGGGAGAAAAATCCCATTATCTGTCTTAATACACAAGGGATGATGGGGCTGGGTGATGGGGCTGGGGAGGGAAGGTATTACATGGATAATTTAAATCCAGTATTCACTGGTTTATCCAGTTACTCGACATTTATTTAGAGTTGACTGTGCCAGAAACTTAGATAATAAAATTAAAACTTCCCTATTTCTGTCTTCTTTCCCACCAGCAGTCACCCTGATAGGTTTGAGCAGAGGTTCTGGGTAAGGTTTAGTTAAGGGGCGCCTGGGTGTCTCAGTTGTTAAGCACCTGCCTTCGGCTCAGGTCATGATCCCAGGGTCCTGGGATGGAGCCCCACATCAGGCTTCCTACTCTGCAGGAAGCCTGCTTCTCTCTCTCCCATTTCCCCTGCTTGTATTCCCTCTTTTGCTGTCTCTCTCTCTGTGTCAAATAAATAATAAAATCTTAAAAAAAGAAAAAAAAAAGGTCTAGTTAAGGTTAAATCCAATCACAATCCTGAGCAAAGTGGGATTTGGGGATTGGCATTCACTCCCTCTCTCCTGAGGCTTGTTTTTGATCCTTCTCCTAACACAACAGGAACTCTGTATTCCAGTCAGTGTCAGGATCTTACATCATTCAGTGAATAGGATACTGGCACTTAATAAAGATTTAAATACATGAAATGATTTAGAAGGTGAGATCATGAAATGATTTTCAAAGATGATGGTTCCTGGTATTACCCTGTCCCCACACATTTTCCCTGGAGTGACTTTAGTGGCAAGTCAGTGGGACAAAATGCCCAGAGGAAACTGGAGGGTTGTTCGCTTCTGGACTAGATGTTGTTCTGTGGAGGGACTTCCCTGTGGGCTGCTTCTCAGCCCTAAGCCAGCGTCCACACTCTCTCAGACAGCTGGGAGCAGAGCTTCAATGTCGTATGGATGGTCACACTGATGAGGTTGCTGCTGCTGATGTTGTTCGATAAGCAACTAATAATAACAATAGCTACAATGCATTTCACCCTTACTATTGGTGTGTTTCAGGCACTTTTCTCAGCACTTTGCATTTGTCAACTCATTGAATCCTTGTAACAATCTTATAAAGCAAGTATTATTATTATACCCGTTTTACAGATGAAAACTGAGGCACAGAGAGATTAAATAACTTGGTCAGAAGAACACACAATTAGAAAGTGGCAGAACTGGAATTCAGAACGTTGATAGTCAACCCAACAGCTTTTGCAGCATTTTTAGAGAATCAGGGAGGAACAGCTAGAAGCATTTTCTAGGGGTTACGTCTATTCGTTCAGTAATTTATTCAATTAACATTAATGCCCGATGTCCCAGACGCTATGTTCAGCTGTTTAAATAAGCAAATAAAATAGGATTTACTGACTAGTCTAGCTTTAATCTTTGCATGGCTGGGAACAAACTGGGTGTAATAGTCTTTGAATCCTAAAGCTAAAAGGCACCTTAAAGAAAAGTTCGGGTTATGGTAATCTACTTGGTCAAGACTTTGTTTTATACATGATCTAAGAAAACCGTCTACGGGGCACCTGGGTGACTCAGTGTGTTAAGCCTCTGCCTTCAGCTCAGGTCATGGTCTCAGGGTCCTGGGATCAAGCCCCGCATCAGGCTCTTTGCTCAGCAGGAAGCCTGCTTCCCCCCTTCCCCGCCTACCTCTCTGCCTAATTGTGATCTCTGTCAAATAAGTAAATAAAATCTGAAAGAAAGAAAGAAAGAAAGAAAGAAAGAAAGAAAGAAAGAAAGAAAAAACCGTCTACCATTAGCGGAAATGAAAATCTTGTTTCTAGAGTAAACCAAGGTTGACAATCTATTTCCATTGCACTATAATGATTATTGGTCAGTAGGTGGCAGTCCAGGATTAATATTCAGCTCTAGCTCAATTGGCAAAGTACTCTGAGCCAATCAGTTCCTCATTTCCAGGCAAGGGGCAAGGCAAAAATAAAGGGAAGATGGTTGAAACACCTACCCATACACACCTACCCTCACACACACTCAAACACACACAGCCAATAACAAACCAATTCAGTGATTTTTAACACAAAATCAAAGAGGAAAAAAACCCTCTCATAACATAGGGTTAATCGTGTATCTCCCTGTGATTTTTCAAAATTGCAATCGTTCCATAATTTATTACTTAATACATATTTCATAGTTGTTGAATGAATAAGAAAGATACTCATAATTCCCTGAAATGCAGATTATAAGGTACTTAGAAGAGACTATTAAAGGGTGTTCAATCAAAAAAACATATAGCACTCCTTCCTGAGAGTGATGTGTTGGTCAGGTGCCCACTGTGACCCAGGAATTGTACCAGGCACTGGGGACAGAGCAGTGAACAAGACAAGTGCCTGCCTTCAATGAGTTTACATTCTAGTAAAGAGAGACAGGATTAACATGAATAAGTGAGATACTTTCACATTCTAGGAACTATTAGAAGAAAGTATGTAATAAAAGAGGTCATTCTTAGGAAGTGACTTTTGAGTTTAAGACGACTGAAAGATGAGAAGGAAGCAGTCGAAGATCCAGGAGAAGGCCATCTGAGAAAAGGAACTTAAAACTTTTGGCATTTCGGGAGCGCAGAAAGCCCACAGTGTGGGGAGAATAGTGAAAAGTGGAGAGATATAAGGAAAGAGAGGTCAGGTAGAGGGCCTGAGGAGGTGGTAAAAGTGAGGGGAGATGCTCATTTGGACTAAGGTTGGAGCAGGAGAGATGGAGAGATGTGACTGGGTTCTCAGAATACATTTTAGAGTTAGATTTGCAGGTTTTTTTAACGTGTATTTATTTATTTTTGAGAGAGAGTTAATGGGGGGAGGGGCAAAGGGAGAGGGAGTTTCAGGCAGACTCCCCACTGAGTGTGGGGCCTGACCGGGGAGGGGGGCTGCTGTATTTCAGGACCCTAAGACCAGGACCTGAGCTGAAACCAAGGGTCTGCAGACGTTTAACCAACTTCACTACCCAATTGCCCCTCAATAGTTGTTTTTTTTTAATGGATTTGGGGGGAAGACAGGTCAAAAACAAAGAGAAATTAAGGGTAATTTAAATTTTTAATCTGAGCAACTGGATGGGCAGTGGTGTCGTTTTCTACAATGGGGAAAACTTTACGATTGAGAAGACAAGGTAGAAAATGGGAGCTTGTTATGTCTGAGGTGCCTAATAATCATCCAAATGAAAATATGGAGTGTCCCTATGAATTATAACACAGGAACTCATTGGCAAGCTGTAGGCTGGACTGGAACTGGGTGTCGTTAAAAAAAAAAAAAAAAAAACTGAGGGCATTCCTGCTGGTGGGCTCCCTGCTTATGGGGAGCCTGCTTCTCTCTCTCTGTCTGCCCCTCCCCCTACCTCATTCTCTCCCTCTCTCTCTCCTTCTCTCTCTCTCAAATAAAGAAATGAAATCCTTAAAAAAAAACAAAAACACCCAAAACTGATGACATTTAAAGATACAGAACTCAGTGAGAACATCTGGGCATCAATGTAAATACAGAAGGGAAGACAGGTAAGTACTGAGTCCTGGGGTACTTCCGTGTTAGTGATCTGGCAAAGCAAGAACCAGTGAAGAAAGGAGGCAAGCGCTGGTAATCTTATAAGAAGGAGAGAGGAACGAGCATGTGACATTCTCTCCAGAGGCTGAGGAAGAAGACCGGGCACTGGTCATGGGGCTTGGGCAAGATGTCCATCATTTGTGGCCCTGATGAGTGTGCATTGGCTAGCAGGCGGGGCTGAAAGCATAACAGAATGAACGTGAAATAGGAGGCGAGAAAGCGGGGAACACTGAGTAGACAACTCCTTTGAGGAGTTCACTGTAAGGAGGAACAGCGATATAGAAAGAAACTAGAGGACAACAGGGAATCAAAGGTGGGTTTTAATTTTCTTGATGGAATGGGTGATTCTAAGGCATGTTTGTCTGTTGATGAGGATAACAGAGCATGGGGTGCGGAGGAGACCTGGATGTTTGAAATTGGAGTCTTGAGATGAAAAGCAGGGCTTGGGGGTGCCTGGGTGGCTTAGTCCTTTGCCTTTGGCTCAGGTCACGATCCCAGGGTCCTGGGATCGAGCCCCACATCGGGGCTCCTTGCTCAGCAGGAGGCCTCCTTCTCCTTCTCCCACTTCCCCTGCTTGTATTCCCTCTCTCCCTGTGTCTCTGTCAAATAAAATCTTTTTAGAAAGAAAGGAAGGAAGGAGGGAAGGAAGGAAGGAAGGAAGGAAGGAAGGAAGGAAGGAAGGAAGGGAATCAGGGCTGGCTTCAGGAACACAACAGAAGGGACAGATGATCCATTGTACCAGGAGGGAGAACACGCTAGTTCCTACTGATGTAGGGACTCTGGTGGACTGGAATGGGGTTCTAAGCCAATTGCCTCTTCCACAGTGGCCACCGTTGCCTGTGCCGTTCTCCTGTTGAAATAGAATGAGCTCTGCGCCAGGAACTCTCCTAGATGCAAAGATTCGTGACTTGTGGTCGTAGCAAATAATACATGTCTACATACGTGTGACAAGGCAGTGGCACAGGCAGTAGGATTTTAAGAAGACTGAAGATTAGGCAGCATTGACATGGTCCTGAGAAGCACAGGATACTCCACTGAGCTGGGCCCCCCCCCACGAGGGTGGGGAGAGTGCTCATGGGGTCAGCGGTGTGGGGCAATAAAGGAAGAGTCTTTAGTTGGATGGGATCAGGTTCCCTTTTTTTCTGAGCTGCCATCCTCTAAGGACTCCCTGTACCTTTCTCTTTATCTGCAGCTCTGTGTGTGTGTGTTTGTGTGTGCGTGTGCGTGTGCGTGTGTGTGTGTGTGTGTGTGTGTGTTCTTCTCTTTGCTCTGCCCTTTTCTGGGCCTCCCTTCTCTCCTCTTCTCCCACTCTTCCCTGCAAACAGTGTAAAACACAGGCTGGATCCTGGGCAAACATTAACCCCAGGCCGCATTTTCAAGAGGGGAATCGAACCCAGGGGAGTGAGAAGCGAGGTGTGAAAGCAAAATGGAAAGAGGGACCAGCCCCGCTGCACCTCTACCTCTCTCTGCTCTGTGGTCAGCTAGTGGAGTCTGCTGGGGAAGGACCCCCATGCAGGCACCACCCAATAGCTAACTACTTCCCCCAAGCTCCAGTTAGGTCTCTAGAGAATAAGAAATAAGGGGGGAAGGGAAGCTGAGAGAAGGGGAGTCGGTGAGAATACTGACTGTCAGCCAGACCCCCCCAACACACACACACACACACACACACACACACACACACACACACAGGGCCCCACTGTCTACAGGCTGCTTTGAAAACCTGAATATGCAAGGAGGGAGAGCCAGGGGGAGCCCTCAGGGTCCGGACTTGCAGAGCCACCCACGACTCTGTTTCTGTTTCCCCATTCCCAGCCCGCCGTTTGCCAGGCCCAGGGCTGGGTGGGTGCGGAGTAGATTCTGCGTGGCAGGTGTCCGCTGGGCACAGCCAAGCTCCAGGGCCAGCGTTTGGGGCCGGGAGTGCAGGTAGGGAATTTAACACCTTCATTTTCTCCCTACCCGGACGGGGCTGGACGCAGGAAATGGAAAAGAACCACCTGGCATTTGCAGCGTCCCAGGGATAGGGCTCCTGAGAAGGGGTCTAAAACAGCGGTGTTAGAAAGATGGGAGAATTGGCGCGACACGAGTTTCGTTTAAATAAGCGCCCCTTAGCCTCATAGGGGCAGCCAGTGCCCCCAAATTGCCTGGCATTTGAGCTACTAAGTGACCTTGGGTAGGTCACCTAATCCCATCGGAACTTTCACTGAATGCTTTCTTAAATACAGATGTCCCCACCCCAGTTATCCCTACCTGGCCACTGTCTAAGAGTTAGGTGGTGCCATACCAATCATCGTTTAATTGGGCAGAAACTACCAGGTTTGAGTACTGGGAGGTTTACGCCGTAACTAAAGCAAGTTTTAAATGATCTTCCTTTCCAACAGAGCTCATGGCTAATCCCAGGGCCACAGTCGGATACTCCCAATTGCACCACAGTCCCATTACAGTGTTTACTACGACTTCTATTAATGGCTGTTTATTGGATGTTTGCTAGCATTAGGCACTGTGTGTGTGTTTTTTTTAAATATTTTATTTATTTAAATAAAAGATATCACATTTAAATTTAAATAAAGAGAGATCACCAAGTAAGGATAGAGACAGGAAGAGAGAGAGCTGAGGAAGCAGGCTGCCCACTGAGCAGAGAGCCCAATTCAAGCCTGGATCTCAGGACCCTGAGATCATGACCTGAGCTGAAGGCAGAGGCTTAACCCACTAAGCCACCCAGGGACCCAGGCACTGTGTTTTAGGGAAACGAATTGTCTCTAATGCTCACAGCTCCTCTGCAAGTTAGATGTCATTATCCTCATTGTACAGATTATGGCCGTCTGCTGACCATATCTGAAATCCTGCCCAGCCTTGACTATTCGAATTCTCTCTAGAGAGCTAAGCAAAATGGCTGGCCGGGGCTCAGGGAAACTCCCTGGATTCGGATTTAAAATCTCAGGTGTCAATCACCAGGGATTTCCAATTTTAGTCCTAGGAGATTATGAGAAACTATCTCCCAAGAAAACTCCAAGGCAGTCTGCAGTGTCTTTGGAACCTACAGTTGGAGAAGGGGAAGGAGCCTCAGCAGGGTGGGTGATGAGTGGGTGTTATTTTCCTAAAAGGAAGAAAAGTCACTTTCATTCAAAGGGCTGTGGAATTCCGGCTGGAAATGGGTTTCTTTACACTTAATCATCTGTAAGCTTCTTTGGATGCTTGATTCCAGAAGCCCAAAACTCACACTTTCGATCACAAAATCCTGGACATTTATTTGCCAAGCCCCGTGGATGTTATCCCTCTGGACCCTCCCCGCCCTTCTCCTTTGGACAGAACGAAACCCATTCTGTGGCTTTTGCAGGAAGTCTTCAGGCCCTCGTGTCCGGCCCTCTGAGACATCAAAGCCCCCTTGAGAGCAAAGGACTTTGAAAAGATACGAAATGCTCGGTCTCCTTATCGCGTCCCTGCTCCCTCCCGAGCAAGTCGTAAATTCCGAGCCCCAGTGGCCTCTCCCCTCCGCTCTTCTTGCCCCAAGGTCTCAAAGGACAAACTTGTCACTTCCCGCCCCGCCCCTGGGTCCAGGCCGAGGCCCCTGAAGCTGGGACGGAGGGGCGCAAGGTTGGGGATGTGTTTGAGGGGCGGTGGCCGTGGGCACCCCTGCACTTCCAGGACACCCCTTGCTGCCCTTCGTCACCTCCTGAAGACCCGGCTTCCCTGGCGAAGCCCTATTCGGGCGGGGCAGGCGCCCGGGCTCGGGCGGCCCGCAGCCCCGTGCGCCCTCTCCGCCGCGCGCGCGGGGTAACGTGTTCCCGTCGCGTGTCTGTGCTTTCCTGCAGGCCAAGAGGGCATCCTGCGCTGCCACCCGGACCTGGCGGGCCGCGAGCTGCAGCAGGGCACGCTCACCGCCGAGTCGCAGAGGGAGCAGAGAGGCGCGGGCCTGACGAGCCTGAACGCCGACGAGCGGCTCCGGCTGGCGGAGCTCAACGCGCAGTACCGCGCGCGCTTCGGCTTCCCCTTCGTGCTCGCCGCGCGCTTGAGCGACAGAGCGGCGGTGCCGCGGGAGCTGGCGCGCAGGCTGCACTGCCCGCCCGCGCAGGAGCTGCGCACCGCCCTAGGCGAGGTGAAGAAGATCGGCCACCTGCGTCTCGCCGACCTCCTGGGCGCGGAGCAAACCTGACTGTAGCGGCCGCGCGAGCCCGGGAGCCGGGGCGCACGTCCGGACGCTCGGGGACGGGAGCTGGCGCGGGCCGGGAACGGCGTCCAACACGCGCGCAGAGGGAGGGGAGAGCTGAAGCCACCGCACGAATAATGAGCCCTTTTGTCCACCCACCCACACGCGCACGCTTTGCCAAAATCTCTGTAGAGGTTCGTGCTTTGGCCCCGATTTATCCAGCTCACTGCTTCAATTCTTCACTCCCTTTGCAGCCCGTTGACACCACCAGCCTTTGTGGATTCCAAAGCGCTTATCCAGCTCTTGGGTCCGCATCCTCTCCCGCTAAGCCCGAGCTGCAAAGCAAAACGGGAGGAAAAGGCATCTTTTTATTCCACAGCGCTTTGTTTGTTTTTTCTTCCCCACCTCTTTTGCCGTACCGACATTAACATGTGAGCAGAAGTAGTTTTCTCCCTCTGGGGCGCCTACGGGAGCCGGAGCCCAGGCGAGGAGAGCGAGGTACTGATTTGGGTCCTCCGCGCCCGGCAAGCCGCGGGTGGGGGGTCCGTGGGCGAATGGGAGCCTCGCGACGGGCCAACGTTGGGAAGGCGCCCCGTGGGGGCAGGCGGAGTAGCTGCCACAGGCACTCTTGAAAGAGGGGTGGGAGTGGGGGTGTCTCCAAGCTGGACGGGCCTGGAAGTCAGGGGCAGGCGGCCTCTCCGCCTCTTCCAGAGATCTTCCCTCCACCCCCGACTCTCCCAAAAGTCGTCCCGTGAGAGTTGGGTCGTCAGAACTTCAGGCTGCCCCGGAGAGAGCCATCGGTCATTAAAAGTTAATAATAAAATAATAATTATTTAATAATACTCACTGGATATTCTGGCCCCCAAGGTGAAGATGAAACCACTCCTCCCCCACAGCGCTGATAAAGCAGGTAATGAGGAAAATGGTGGCCATTGCGATCTTTCTGGCCCGCGTAGGCCGTTTCTGGGGAAGTTACCAACCGTGGGACTCCAGAGCTGTCTGCCCTGAGAGCCAGAATGTCCACTTATGCAGAAGGGGTTCATCTCACACATTCTCTCTCTCTGGGGAGCGTGGGTTCTCCCCACACACTGGAGGGTTTGTCTGACCCCAACAACACGACTGAAGTTTCTGTTGGCACAGGAGAAACAAGCCATACCTGCCCTCCTAGATGCAGACGTGGTAAGAAGTGAAGGCCCTTTTGAAGACTGGAACCTCCATTAGGGACCATCCCAGGCCCAGGGTAGCAGCAGCAACAGCAGCAAGAAAATCTTCTTTTCACAAAAAGTGTGGCCACACCTCGGTTGGGGGTGCTGAATCCCACAGAAAGAAGCCGCTCTGACCACACCAGGTATTTCAAACAGGGAACCTCCATCCCTCCTTTCCCACCGTACAGGTGTTCTCTGCTCGAGGTAAGGGGGGAAGATTGAAGCTGGTGATGGGGCTAGGTGGGGGTGCCAGGGCAGTGAGCTGTGGCTACCCACATCCCTATAGATTAATGCCAGGGCCTGGCTGGCCTGGGCCTGTGCCAGAGGCCTTCTCCGGAAGCACCAGGTGTACACTACAAAGGCAACTTGATGACTCAGTTCCTGTGCTCTAGGACCCCAAGGCCACGGTGGGCCCCTTAGGCCTGGGGCTAGAATCCTGCTTCACTTTAGATGGGTAACTTGGGGGCCTAGGATACAAGTGCTACAGACTGGGTCTGAAACACACTAATCCACTATATTCAAGCCACCCTGTCCAACCCTAGGATAAGTCCTGCTTAGATAGATGGCCCCCCACTGCAGAGTCTGGACTGTCCCTGTAAATGGGCTCGACCTAAGACAGCCAGGCTTGGAAGGTGGGGGGACGACCTTCCAGCTACAATTGTAGACTGAGTGCCCAGGAGATCTGGACCTCTCAGGCTGGCTCCACCTGGGTGTCCTCAGTCACACAGTTACATTTCAAAGCTTGCCCAAAATTGCTTCTTTCTGCAGGAGGAAGTTCCGTAGTGGGAGACCCTGGATCCACCCCTGAAAGGAGCTGGGAGGTTCCTCTGGCCAAGACTCCTGAGCTCTTATAGCCTTGCAGGCAGACGCAGGACGCGGGACGTAGGCGCCAGGCTGGCAAGGGCCCTGGCAAATACAACTGGCAGCTCTGGCTTTTTTTTTCTCCAGTAGGAGCAAAGAGCCCGAGGCCGGGTCTTGTGGGAGCGGGTCAGCTGTGGCTGCCAAAGTCTGGGAGAGCAGTTTTCTGTGGACTCACACAGCAACACGCCCTGGGCTTGTGCTGGCCTTGGCCTGGCGGAGACGTTTTTTCGTTTCCGTGCTGCCCTGCGCAAGAGGCGGGAGACAAACCCGGATGGCGGAGACCAAGGGCCACCGTCTGAGGCCTTCATGTGTGTGCACCAGCACAGGTGGCGGGATGGCCTGAGAGCGTTGGGCATCTGGGGTTCCAGAGTTGTTGGTGCAGATTCTAGGGTGGATAATTTAATATTTTACTTACTAATTCGTTAACACACAAACACAATAGCAATGCAAAAAATAGTTGGAAGGCGAGGAGCTGCTTTCGGTCCCCTAACCTTGCAGCCCTTCCAAGCACGCTCCCTTCCCAGGTGCTGGTACTGCTTTGCCAATTTTCAACCCCCTCTTAAAATGTCCAACCCCAACCCAGCGTGTGCTCTGAGCAAAAAGACCGAGAGCTCCCGCTAGGAATCCACGAGCCCAATCCCAGCTTGGCATTCACATGTGTAACTGAGAAACCAAATTGGGGAGGGGTCTGCTTTCATTTGCCCAGAGATGCTGGCTTTTTGGTCTGTGTGTCCAAAAGATGTCCACGGACACGGGCATGGGAAGAAGAGAAAGGGGGAAAAGGACAAGACAATTTCTTTGCATAAATTTCTTTATTCATTTTAAATTTGACACACTTCCAGAGATCAGCCTTAGGATGTCAATTCCAGTTCAAAAATAAAGAGCTCTTTTTAGAAAGTATGTACTGTAGGACAGGAGTAGATGGAGACCTTCTTTGGTAACTGGTGGAAAACTTGGGATGAAATTTATGGAAAATTGGCCATTCAATAAACTAATAAACAGCAGTTAGCAGGTGCCTGTGAAAGAGAGAATAAAAGAGAAATAAGTGGGATGCGGGAAGTAGTCCGAAATGTTGCAACAGCAGAACCTGATTGTTCTGGTACTATTTGGTGTTGGGGGGTGGGGGGTGGGAGTGGGGAGTTTGGATTCCGGGAATCGTCTAGTTGGTTTTGTGTTTCCAGGGTGGCACCAGCAACCTTAGTAATAATTAACATCCATACAGAGTCTTATGGGTTCCAATGTACCTATAGTAGCTCATTTAGTTTTAGTGGCTGGAACAGCTAGCTGTGTGACCTTGGGAAAGTCGCCCAACCTCTCTGAGCCTGGGATTTCTCCCCTATAAAGTGGAAGTGCGGCACAAACAGTAAGTCCCCTGTCTCCCCTCCAGGGTGAGTAGCTTCCCAGTGACTCAAGGACCGCTGAACCTTATCTGAGCCCCTTCCCTCAGCCTCATAAAGACTACTGTGTAGGGCTTCCTCGGAACATATTTTCATATGATAAGCAAAGGTCACTCTAGGCACAGACGTTGTGAGTGAACAAATGGTAACTGAAGGCCGTCCACGTCAAGACCAAGTGATAACGTTTAGCTGCTGCTGGCCCAGGAGCCCGATTCTCCTCAGCATCAAGGGTTTTTCTCCTGGGGTGAGACCCCAAGGCCCTCCCTTGAGGGACTTTAAATCATTCTCAGTGCTCATCCGTCACACGGAACGAGAATGGGTTATACAATAACTCCACACTGACCACTTTAATTTCGGAAGAAAGAATGAAAACAGTCCACCATCACTTATTTTCATGATATTCACCCAATGAGCAAAACTGGATTTCTATACCCAAATATCACCCTCTCCCTTGAGACTCTTTCTTTTCCTAAATCTCCTGGCTTCAAGAATATGGATAGAAGAGCATAATGAAAACTGTAAATTCCTTGCCTTGGAATAAGAAAGCCTTGGATTCCTCTGTGAGACAAATAAGGCAGTGGATTTCCCCCATGCTCCTGCCCCCTCTCCCTGAGTGGTAAAACTCTAGTCCACTAAAGACCTCCCACAAATTCAGGAACTTTTCCTCAGGTAGAAAAGCCCAGACACTCAGTTTGCCGCAGAGGGTGGGTGGGGGAACATTCTCTACTCTGAGGGGGGCAAGGGACATCTGCTCTTGTGAGGGAAGTCTGGGCAGCTATGGACAGCTGCGGCCCTCCCTGTTGTTCAGAACGAACATGTTGGGGATCCATTGTGGCCTGATGGGGCTGAGCGGGCAATGGACTCTGGGGACGCCCCACAGAAAGGACACTGCCATCGATTTCCTTCCCAGAGATATTAGCTGAGTGGGCCGTGGCAGGGGAGGGGGTGTTGCGGTCAAACCACCCATTATTGAGCCTTTCTTTGTGCAGGGGGGTTGCCAATTGGGTGCAATGGCTGAAGAACTCCTTAAACACCAAATTAAGTAGAGATCTCCTCAGCGATGTATATTGCCAAGCTGACCAATTGTATCAAACCACATTCTCTTCTTTCCCACTCTTCCTTAATTATGCCAGGAATCCAGGTCAGTGCAGGGTGAGGGTTTCCTGTGCGGAGGGGGAGAGGGAGAACAGAAATGTTGCACTATATGGATAATTCCCTTGATCTGAACGGGATTCCAAAAGCAGACCAGCACGCTAAGGTGGGCAGAGATGGCCTGCCCTATCCAGGTTACAAGGATCACAGGTGCCCCAGTTTTCAGGAGCTACAAATATAGGGGAAAGGAGGGTCCCCCAAGCTGGAGCAAACACTGGGGACCTTTGAGCAGGGAGAGAGTCCTGTCAATGATCTGTGGATTCAAGGAGTGTCCCATCTGCCTAGAGGAGCAGCCCGCCCCTTCCTGTGCCTCACGCTCCCCCACCCCACCCTAGCCCGGTGCCCCTGCCCTTGCCACCAACCAGAATCCTGGAAGCCCTGACCCTCTCCA